TTTTATATAAAAAAAAATATATATATATATATATATATATATATATATATATATATATATATATATATATATATATATAATTTTTTTTAGATCAAAGAACGCACAATAAACTTTTATTGATTATTCGAAGTGGTAACGTATGGATAACTAGATTCATATTCGATCGGGAACTCATTACACGTGGCAAACTTTTCATATTTTGTAACGGAAACTCCCTTTCCTGTGGTAAATCGATAGCCCAACGCATTATATATACGTCTTTTTCGCGCAAATATCGCAAACATGAAGCCAAGAACGATAAATGCATTAACTTTCTTGCACGTATGACGCAACATATTACAAGAAAAGTACCATCTACTCACATGTTGAAATGTCCGTTCAAGTTGATGAATCGTAGATAATGCTCGTCGTACACAAAGGCGGCGACAAGTCTGTAAAAGTTACGTTGAGAAAGTAAGACGGACAATGTCGCGCGAAAATATAACCAACTCGAAGCAATACTGTTCGGGGATGCACACGAAAAACCGAATAGCTGCAAACGCCCATACTAACGCCAACAGAACATTAAAATCTACTGAAAAACGTGAGACAACTTACCGTATTAAGGACCACGTGAGAAATGGTCGAAGGCACACAGGCGCGGATGGTATACTATGGAAGGCGTACAGCCATATTTCCCTCTTTATGCGGAATTCACACTGGGGTGCGTTCGAAAACATCACCCGTGTGTATTTTGTCACCTCAGATCGTTCGAAAATCCCTAGTGGGCACACTGACCATGCGACCATGGCCGTTCGAAAACCGTACTCCGTGGACCACTCGTGTGACTTTTCTCCACTCTCTTTTGCGCGGTGTGAATCGGTGGAGATGGTGGAGAGTGCGCAAAGAGTGCAATACAGTATGAAATTACTAAATTATTTATGGTTTTTTGTTCTTCGAAACATTCGTACAACCATTACCCTTATAGAAATATCATACTAAGAATCATTGATAATTACTTATTATCCAGTATTTTTAATACTGAAAATAAATAATTATCAATGATTCTTAATGGCCGCGTTCAGTAGAACAAGTGATCAGTAAGCGCTCAGTGAGCTCTTGCATCTGATTGGAGTATAGTTGGAGATCTAAAAGAATATGCCAAATCATATACAAGAGCTCCCTGAGCGCTTACTGGCCGCGTTCAGTAGAACAAGTGATCAGTAAGCACTCAGGGAGCTCTTGTATATGATTTGGCATATTCTTTTAGATCTCCAACTATACTCCAATCAGATGCAAGAGCTCACTGAGCGCTTACTGATCACTTGTTCTACTGAACGCGGCCAGTAAGCGCTCAGGGAGCTCTTGTATATGATTTGGCATATTCTTTTAGATCTCCAACTATACTCCAATCAGATGCAAGAGCTCACTGAGCGCTTACTGATCACTTGTTCTACTGAACGCGGCCAGTAAGCGCTCAGGGAGCTCTTGTATATGATTTGGCATATTCTTTTAGATCTCCAACTATACTCCAATCAGATGCAAGAGCTCACTGAGCGCTTACTGATCACTTGTTCTACTGAACGCGGCCACTGATAACTTGTTCTACTGAACGCGGCCAGTATGATATTTCTATAAGGGTAGCCATCACGGTAAGATAAAAAATTTAAATACAGCAGTGTAGGTTAGCCAGGTTTAGGTTTATTTCTATAGTGATGTATATTGTCAGAATATTGTCTTTAAATATAAATAAAGCTTATTAAGCTTTTTGTATTTTATAGGTTCTGAAATTTTCTTACGAGATACGAGGCACGTTAAAAGTCACGAATCAGTAACAATTTGTGAAAAAAAATGGAAAATTTAATCCCGGGTCGTCATATTTTATGCATGGATATTAAAAAAAATATACAAAAGGATGACAAGGGAAATGTCTATATATACGATGTTAAAGGTAAGGAGTAATAAATAAGTATAAATTTCCTTAGGCCTGGTGCCCACGATGCTAGAAATCGATCCGAGTTCTCGGACCGAGGAATATATAGCCAATTAACTTTCCAGATAACATTTTGCTTGCACAAACTTTTATAGAAAAGCGACAATTTTATTGGCTACACATTTCTCGGTTCTAGTACTCGGACCGATTTCTAGCATTGTGAATACCAGACCTTAGTATTTGACTTGAGGTTAGATGATTTTAAAAACGCTTTCGATCAGCCATTTTGTACAACATATATGTAGGCACAACACACATGTAGTATGTCACATTGAGCATTCTTCCATGGCTGTTCGAAAACTCCTCTCGATACCAACTCCACTAACCCCACCAAGCCCATCCACCCAGACCACTTTCCGTCGTGGACTTTCAGTGTTTTCGAACGTACCCCTGGGTGCTTTCCAGTTGCGTACACTGTGTTATACAAAACCAGTTTATTGGTTGCGTATTATCTTACAAGATATTTTAGATAATATGTGACTAATAAACTGGTTTTGTGTACATGTGTGTCAAGTGTATTAAGCAATTGAAAAGCAATTGAAAAGCATCCACTGCGTTCGAGTACTAGGGCTGCGTTCGGAAACATACACTGTGTGCACACTACTAGACGATAGCCGTTGAAGTGAGCGAAATACAAGAGTGAGATAAAAAGAAAGTAAGAGTACTTGAGTGACGAACACAGCATACATTCAATAGAAAAATAATTTTTCTAGAGACTAAAATGCTAGTCGATAGAGTTGTTAGAGACTCTACTATTGGATATCGTCAGCAAACAAACTCTACTATTGGATATCGTCAGATATCCTGCAAAATTTGCATAATAGAGGATTCACACTGCATCCGATATCCGATATAATAAAACAGTTTTCTAAAGGTCGTTCTATATTAATTGCAAGCCGATCGTAAGCAGACACAATTCTTATTGCGACAACTAATCAGAAGCATCAATGGTGCTATTGACGCTTCTGATTGACTGTCGCAACAAGAGTTGCAATCGACTTGCAACTAATGTAGAACGACCTTTACAAAACGCACTCATAGTAGTATTAAGGCCGCTCTACATTGGTCATGTCGTAATGTTGTGAAAACATCGCAAAATCGTAGCATCGTAATGCTCGTGAGTACAAAAATAGTGGGTGCTCGTGAAGACAAAAATATATACTTTTAATGATGAGTATGATTACTTTTTGTGCTATATATATTTTTAACTATATCTAGTTATATATTTTTAACTATATTTTTAACTATATTTTTAACTATATTTTAACTATATCTGGCTTGATAGCTGGATCGCTTTAAAACAACCAGACTTCAGCGTGGAATCCGTTTATTGCCTGAAAGATGGGCCAAGGTTGTGACTTCCGATGGAGCATACTTTGAATAAAGTAAAAATTATTTTTATGTTTCAAATCAATGCGTTTTGTTTATCAAACAATCCGTAAAGTCATACTTGTACATCCAATATATTAGAAAGCTGTTCTCCTATTGGATATCGAACGTCGTACGTCGGACATCGGACGCGGTGTGAATCCTGCGTAAAGCCTGTGTCAAACTACCGACTGCACAGGCCGACCCAACTGCCGACTACGACTGCCGACTCTCAATGGACCAATCACAGTGAGGCGCCAACTCTGATACGGGTTTAAGGGCCTTTGCACATAGAAAAATTTTAACCGTAACCGTAATGGCTCCTGCACACAGAACGCGGTAATCCTTGCTGAGTGGCAGAAATTCGCGTGGCAGCCAATCAATATGCTGGTTTCTGTAATAACCTTCTAGCTTTTATGGAAAAACAACATATTGATTGGCTGTCGCGCGAACTTACACCGCGCAACAAGCATTACCGCGTCTTATGTGCAGAAGCCATAAGGTCGTAAGACCAATCAGAGTTGGTTATTCTCCTTGCGTTCTAGGAATAATCGACTGTGATTGGTCAGTTTTCTTACGATCTTACGATTATGATTAAAATTTTTCTACGTACAAAGACCCTAAGAAATTGACTAATCATACTGGGTTGCGTTCCAAAACTCTACTCGGTCAATTCTAAAGCCAGCGGCACACGATGCTTGTTTTCATGCTGGATTGCTTGCTGGATGAAAATATTCTATTCTGATTGGTGCATTTCTGAAGACGGATCAATCAGAATAGAATATTTCCATCCAACAAGCAATCCAGCACGAAAACAAGCATCGTGTACCGCTAGCTTAATAGCATGTTCAACTGGCTCTGGGTTAAGCTAGTGGCATATAGAAAAACTTATGGTCATTTTCACCATCTTTACCTTAACCGGCTAGTTATTCCGTTGGAACTGACTAATCGCACTTGTCGTTTAACAAGATTAACCAATCACCGTGCACATTTAATCAGTAGTTAATGTAACCAGAAATGATGAAAATGGCCATTAAACAGTAAAACGTAAGCAGTAAGCAAATTGACCAATCACAGTCATTGATTCTTCTTACAGTCCAAGAATCAACGACTGTGATTGATCAATTTGCTTACTGCTTACGTCTTACTGCTTAAGTTTTTCTGTGTGCCACGATCCTTAAGGGACGTCTACATTGGAAGTAAATAGCAAGAAGTAGGAAGCAAGAGTAAGAAATTGACCAACCACAGTCGAATGTGAGAAGAATAATCAACTATGATTGGTCAATTTCTTATTCTTACTTTTTACTTCTTACTGCTTACTTCCAATGTAGACGTCCCTTTAACCCACTCTGGGTTATTCAATCTACGTTTATTGGTCGAACAAGTATTTATAAGCTTTATGATTGGCTAGTAGAGACTTATGACGTCAATAATCGCTCTCGGAGTGATTAACCCAGGGCCAGTCGAACACGCTATGAGTATAGTCTACTCTGAATTTCTGAACGATTTGGCACCGCTCATCTAGTATGTTACACCACATTTTAGAACGATGTTGAATTAACTCCGCTACTCGGAGTTTGGAACGCGCAGCCCTGGACCCCTATTCTTGAAATAGTTGCGTACATGTAAGTTTTACTGCGCAGGTTTAATCATACTATAAAATCATGATATAAATATAAAGGTGTACCAGTCCCGTGGATGCGTAGTCGTCCAAAATAATAGCCAATCAGAAATGTCCAGAAGTGTTAGAATCCAATATGGCTGCTGACAGCACAGAGAGAAACATGAGAGTGGCTACGCCATACGTTTTGGCCGACACCGATTTTCACGCTGTTCAATGCGCCATCTGCACCCATTTTTTAGGTGGAACTACGTTCCTTACACCCATTTTCAAACGCTTCCGGTAAAGTGTCGATTTGTTGTGATTGAAAACATGGACTGTCCATGTTCTTAACCATGCAATTATGCGCTTAGCACGGACACGAATCGCCAGAAAATGGACATAGAATGGACACGCAACAAATTGATACTTTACCAGCAGCCTCTGAAAATGGGCGTAGGGAACGTAGTTCCACCTAAAAAATGGGTGCAGATGGCGCATCAAACAGCGTGAAAATCGGTGTCGGCCAAAACGTATGGCGTGGCCGTTCTCAGGTTTCTCTCTGGTACACACGACGTTGTGTTACATATTATAAAAAATTAAGATGTAAAAGTAAAAAAATATTAACAACATATTATAAGTATTTTTATATAAATAACGCAATGAATATCTAATGCTACAAACTTATACTATATATATTTTTAGTATTATTATTCTCTCTCTCTCTCTTTCTCTCTGTATGTATATATTACAGATTTTAAGTTATAAATACAAATTAGTAATGTACGATTAATTTTGGACATTTGAATTTCGCGGCTGCATTCCTGCTCATTTCTAATTGGTTCACTACACATTACATCTTACGCGTAATCATCACATTGCGTCATCATGCGCAATGGTACACCTTTATATTTACATCATGCTATAAAATAGTAAATTTTTGCGCAATGAAAATTATGTAGACGCAAAAATTTCAAGAATAGGAACTTTGGAGTTTTACAAGAATAATCGATTGTGATTGATCAATTTTTTACTGCTATAGTATACGTGTGCTATTGTAAATGGCCCTTTAGTCTAAAAGGACAACGATCAGCGATATCCAATAGGAACGTAAATTGTGCGTTATTTTATGCGCAAGCGTCATGTCGCCAGCGCCACACGAACATTACGTGGCCGCTTGAATTACGATATGCCGAGGTTTGATCGTGAGTACGCGGTGGTATGCGGTGGGTCGACTGGGTCGATGAACAGCTATGACAGATTACTGATTGAGCGCGGAACGGCGCGGAAGTGTTCGCGTGTGTCTAACTTGCATCGTTATTGTACGTGTTATACGTTATATTCTCTCTCTTTCCCCTCGTAATTAGTAAATAATAAACGAGCTTAGGGAAATAATGCCGGCGAGGCGATGAGACGTTTCGTAGGTCGATTCGTAAACTCGATGTTAAATTAATCTGGGTGTGGAAGCGTCTCGAGGGATCGAAACGACGGCGCTGGTTCTATGGGATACAACATCGCCAACTGTGAAATGATACGAACGAGGGAAGAATTGGCAGAGAAATTGGGTCTGGACGGGTCCGAGGATCAACACACGATTATGAACAACATGGTAGACGCAAGGGCTTGTTACAAGCCTAGCGGCAAAGTAAGTTGACGATCACATCTGCTTGCTGCGTTATATTGCTTCCGCGATTTCTTGCTTTTTTTCAATATTTCCTAGAATATAATGTACATATATCAGAATCATAATCCACATATGGTTTTGCATGCTGCACTATCGTTGTAAACTCGGTATTGCATCCGCATAAATAATGATTCTTTTAATCGGCGAATTAGTAGGTGTTTTATTTATAATTGACGAGTAAACGATTTTTTTTTACTAATCGCATTGAGTAAGCACGATAACAATTGAGGATTAAGATAGATTTTTGGTCGAAACAGAAGTATGATGCAGTGCATGCAGTCAATAGGTAGTGATAAACCAATTCCAAATTTGTGATGTTTGTTCAGATAAGTTATCAATAACCAACTCGACAGACAAACGAGTTCGAGATAAAACTTTCAGACACAGGTTTCCTGTCATGTTAAAATAGAAATTTTTTTCTTTTTTTTTTTTTTTTTTTAACACTGCAGCATATAACAGCGCACGCGGGTGTGTATGTGTGCACGGTGCGGGTGTATGTGCGCACATAGTAGGCCGATTACGAACATCATATGACGTTTCAACGACGACAAACTCGGTACTGCGAACGTTGGTACATGTCGTGTATGTACCTAGCACGATAGTTTTTGTCAGTATAAACGAGACGTCTGACGCGAGTGAACGTTCACTGAACGACGCACAGCAATCCCTGCCTTTCATTCAGTATATGTGAATGTGTCTGATTTCGTAGCTTCTTTTTTAACGATCACGAATGGTTTTTAATCGCGCTTGATGCATCGCGATTTAAACTCGCAACGATCATGTGTAACAATAATGTATAATCTCGATTTTATTTAAAAGACTAACCGACTGCACGTGCTAGCGAGATTTTGTTAAGAAAAGAAAAAAAGAAAAGAATATTGTCGCTACTTCGGCAACTATGATGGCCGTTTTCGTAACTTGTATCCAATTTCACTAGCCGTTGTATGAATGTTTGTCTTTTTTTTCATGTCAGGTAAACGTTTCAGTCGGACACGCTCCTGGAAATTGCGTTTCATACTTTGTCGCGATTATATAATTTAACGAGTTTGCTAATCAGGCGCGCAAACTTCATTTCTCTTTGTTTCTTTCAGTAAGAGCGTCGTGAAAGAGCGATCTGTGTAGTTGGTTGCGATATACCCGTGTCTTTGTCTCTTTCTTTCACTCTGTCTCTCTTTCTCTCTCTCTTATTCTTTGTCCCCTCCTCTCCTGAACCTCCTGCACATGCATGAGCCCCGGCTTGTCGATTACCGTGTCACCCTGCACTGGCAACGATCGTCTCACCACCGCGCACGTGTACTCATCGAGCACCGGCTGTCTCGGACGGTAGATCCCGTTTACGTCAAACATGACCAACGATAAACAGGTAAGCATCCTCTTACGTGATTTGCAAGTGGAAATGTACAGAGAGAACTGCGAAAATATGAAATATAAAGCGTTCATTTTCAACGGACCAAAGCTACAAGATGAACATTTTAGCTTTCGAGTAGTTTCAATATTTGCAATGAAATTTAGATTAAGCGGAATGAAAGTAGTGTAGATCACATGTTAAGTCGTTTCAACTCTGAGCGACTTGACAGAAAAATCTGAGAAATTCTTTTTTCCGAAAAATTTCCGCTCGAAACGGCTGAAATTTTGCGCTGCTTGTTGTCATCTTGTTGCGAATATTATTGCGCATGACGTTCTTCGCTATAGATATATTTCAATGGGTATAGAATCTTTGACAATTTTTAGGATTGCTTTTTTCTTTCGATATGCGAAACTGTGCAATGCACGCGAGTATGCACAGTTATTCGTTACAACTTGCCTCTTGTAAGTTTGTTCGCAAAGTCACTTAGAGCGGTTTTGTGTCACATATCTCTTACGTTATTTGCGCTTTATAAGGAATAGGTGATCAATAAGTGAGTAAAAGAAAAAGAGAGAGAAAGAAAGACAACGTAATTATATAATACACTAGTTATAAACACTCGACTTGCGGTGTGTCTCGCGAGTTTGATACATTTCTATCACGGAACAAAGTACAGATCAATCCTTTCGCGTGATTCTTCCAGTTTTCGCGATTCGCTTAATCATTCTTTATGGGAAAAAGTCGCATAATTCGCTCTGTCTCGCTGCGCTACACTGCACGCGGCAGTAAAAATGATTCGCGTGGCTTCGCGAATAATCAAGAGATTTCACATTCGCGCCGTCAATTTGTCTCGATCGTCTCTTTCTCTTTCTCCACATGCACCGTCCTCTTCCATCTGCTCGCACTCCGTGCCCGTTCCCGAGCTTTACCTCGTTATTATCAGAAGCGTTCGTTAAAGATTCATCCAACTGTCGGTCGGTGATGTTTCTCTGTCCGCGAACTTTCTTTCTTTACGGTTGCTGAGTAAGAGAGAGTTCTTTTTTTCCGAAAATAATACACGAACGTATATATTTCTTTGGAACATTTCTTCGTGCGTGTCTCATCGCAGCGTGGCTGCGCGGAATGTGACAAAATGTCAACTGTCTAATGATGTACTTGCAGTCGTGGTTTCGCGGCGTTCGAAGCAGCAAATTCCGGCATGTTTACGGCGTGCCGGCCAAGAGAGAAAAATGCTACGACAATATCAAGATCACGAAGAATGCCCACGATTCGCAATTCTGCGCTGTGAATCCCAAATTTCTGGCTGTCGTGACGGAGGTTGCAGGTGGTGGAGCGTTCCTGGTGTTACCATTGGATCGCGTGAGTTGGCCATTATCGATTCATCGATCGTTCTCACCCTACGCGCGCACGAAAAGAGAAGTAATTAATCTCGTTGTATATTTCAATTCTGCAGACCGGACGTCTCGACTTCAACGCGAGTCGAGTGACTGGTCATACCGGTCCCGTCTTGGATATCAAGTGGAATCCGTTCAACGACAACATTATCGCATCCTGTTCCGATGACTGTACTGTAAGAAAAGTTTATCGCGTACATTTGTGTCGGCAATTCTTCCTACTCGTAATCTTTCGTACGATCCTCATTTAGATCAAGCTGTGGCATGTACCTGACGGCGGACTCTCGAGAAACTTGACCGAATGGCTGGTGGAGCTGCAAGGGCACAAGCGACGTGTCGCTTACATCGAGTGGCATCCGGTAGCTGAGAATGTGCTGTTCAGCGCCGGTTTCGATCATCTCGTTATCGTTTGGGATATAAACAGATGCGAGGCGGTGAGCGTGATCGATAGGCATCCCGACGTAATCTACAGCATATCGCTGAATCGCGACGGCAGCCTACTGGCGACCACTTGCAAGGATAAGAAACTGCGTGTTTTCGAACCAAGGTCCGGTATCGTTGTTTCGGTAAGTAATGATCAACAGCGAGTTAGAGAGAGTGATCGAGTAAGCCGAAAATAATATTTCAGCCGTAGCTACTGTGAATCGTAAATTTTCAATCAAATCAAATTCTAAGATAAACGATAGCCGGCATGAGAAATATACGGAATATGCGCAAAATACTCATCTTTGACTCTCTCTCTCTTTCTCTCTTTTTCTGTCGCAGGAAGGGATTTGTCATGCCGGCACCAAAGCGAGCAAAGTGGTATTCCTTGGTAGCTCCGGACGTCTCTTAACCACTGGATTTAGTAGACACTCAGACCGACAATATGCGATATGGAGTCAACACGATTTGACTGTTCCATTGATATGTGAAACCATCGATTCATCGAGCGGGGTGGTCTTTCCGTTTTACGATAACGATACGAATATGGTGTTTCTAGCTGGAAAGGTTAGGATAATTCAATATAAGGAAGGTCCTCTCTCTCTCTCTCTCTCTCTCTCTCTCTCTCTCTCTCTCT